TGTCGTGTTCCCCACATGTTCCTGATGTGTTCCTGTCGTGTTCCCCACATGTTCCTGTCGTGTTCCCCACATGTTGTTGTGAACGATTCGGACCCGGGCGGTCTCCTGCAGCTTCACAGGACAAACACTGACACTGTTTTCCAGAGCTCATGTGTGGATCAGCTTTGGGTGGTGTCTCTGCAGGATGTTACCTGGATGGTGTTGATGACGTAGTATCTGTAGAGGCTGGTCCTCAGCTTGTTGACGGTGGATCTGTAGACGTCCTCCAGTCTGCAGAACAGACGTCTGTCCAGGTAGAGCCAGTATTCCTTCAGACCAAACAGGTCGAAGCTCTGGATGAACTGCTGCAGCTGATCGATGATCTTATCCACCTGCAGAAGAAAAACAGATTCAAACATGATTTTCTTTGATTGAATCTTGGAGTTGGAACTTGTTCCGTGCACGTTTCCCTCAGTCGTACTCTGAAGCCTTTCTCTTTGTCGGCTTTGATTTCACAGTCCAGGTGCTTCATGGTGCTGGTGAAGCCTCGGTAGATCAGGTACTCCCTCACATGTTCGTCTGTCCTCTCCACTGCTGAGCCCATGGTGACCTCTGACCTGCAGACGGTCAGTGACGACAACATGACCTCCGTGAAACAAATGTATACAAACACACACAGATATAAATATGTCAGCACTTTACATTTGACTCTCTCTCTTGTGTTTGAGTTTTGTTCTGTTACCATCGTGTATTTTTAAAAACACTTTGTAACCTTGTTAGGATAAAAAATTCATCTTTACTAACACAGAACAAACAACTGTGCAGCTTTTGAAACGCACGTGTTCACTGAACATGATGATTTCACAGCTGAAGCAACACGTGACGTTTGATGATGAAACTAAATCACGTTTCGAGTTTCTTCTTTCTTCTGCTCGAACTCAACATGTAAAACTAACTGAGCTTCATGACGTCACGTGAGAGTTTTTCGCTTCTTTTAAACATTTTAAAAATGTTCGTCACGTTTCACTTCCGGACTTTACGTTGATAACGGAGTGTTAAATCGTGCGTACCTCGGTGGTATTCTTGATCCAGTTACGTAGACTTGAGTTGAAACAAAAAGCTTCAGATTAAGTTTTAGTCCAGTTTCAGATTCTCGATCTTTTTCTGAAACAACAGAAAAGTCTCTTCCTGTTGTTGCCTCCTGACGATCACGTGACCGCATCATGTGACCGGATCATGTGACCGTGTGACGCACAGCCAGAACTGACGTTACAGTGACCCCTGTCAGGCAAAGACCGTCATTACAATAACTTCATTGAAGCTGATGGATTTCAAAATGATTTTACAAAACAATAAATAGTGAAATTCTTTATTTTAAACAGCTGGTTTTCGTTCATCAAATATAATTATAATTGAACTGTATTAAACATCTTATTAAGTGTATTATTACTCTTAATAAAATACACAGGAACATTCATCGTAATCATGACAATAGAAAATAATACCTCCTTATGAAATCACATTTAAAGCTCCAGTGTCAGATTCAGGTGAAAGGATCTATTGGCAGAAATTTAATGTAGAATAATCCTCATTATGTTTTCACTRGTTCATTTCWTCTAAATTGTWTGAATTGTAGTTTTCTTTACCCCAGAAAATAYTTTATATTTAAATACTTTATATTTACATGGAGGGGACCCTCTCTACGGAGGCCGCCATGTTTTTTACATTAGTCCAGATTGAACAAACTAAAACCTTTTGAGTTTTTATGACGACTGAAGCTGCCACAGGTTCTTCTTCATGATTGGRAGGAGAGGGGGAGGGGAGGGGTGTTCAGCTGCAACATGACACTTCACCACTAGATGTCACTAAATACTACGCACTGAACCTTTAAATGAATCCAGATTTAAATTGGATCTGCCCCAAATCACACGCTGGATAAATATCAGTAATTTATTTTATTCAGGATCTGTGAATTTTTCTATGAGAAATTTTTATCTCACGATGTAGAAAGAGAAAAAAATGTCACTGTGAGAAAAGACTAAATATATTCAACATAATCATTTACTACAAATACTTTAATGAAGAGTGTAACACGGTTGCCACGGCGACAGCAGAGCTCAGAGCTGTGTAGTTACCATAGCAACAGGTAATCAAGACACTGAGAGGCAGAGGAGAGAAAATGTCTGATCGTAGAGTTTGAGGAGAGACTGAAGGAGGCGGCATCTTCCTCCACCTCCTCCTCCTCCACTGCTGCCAGAAGAAAACTGACCCATCAACAAACGATCCCCAACATCCCAGAAGTGCTGGACGACTTTCTGAGGAACTTCCTCCGACAAGTCGGCCTGACCGAACTCTGAGCAGCTTCCAGGTGGAGTGTTGTGGCTCCGCTCAGAAACCTCTGAGAGAAACACCAACCACAGGCGTCTTCTTCGTCCCTGACGCCTTCACACACAGGCAGCTCCTCCACAGCGAGCTGGAGGAGGTCCACAGAGAGACAGGCCTGCTCCGACAGGAGGTGCTGGTGTCAGTGGAGAGCCTGGTGAGGATGAGGAGGGAGAAACACTTCCACCAGCTGCATGTTGTGAAGTCAATTTGTTTGACTGTGAAATGAGATTATATGAAGTCAGATGATAGAGGAAGAAATAAAAAGTCAAGCCTCTGTCTCTAACTGTTTTAGCTCCTGTCTCTTTAAGACCCTCCTCTTGTTGCCAGGTCGGTCAGATGCTGCTGACAGGTGAGGGACACTCTGATTGGTTGACTGCAGCGGATAAACAGCTGAAAGTTTTCTGCACCCCGACTCACGTTTGACTCTTGATGGTTCTCACAGGTGGGAACGGGCGGTTACTTAAACCACGTTCATGCGCAAGTAGCGGGGGGGAAATCTGAGAGAGACGTTTACGGGTGAACAAAAGAGCTTAAGAAAATCTGTCAACAGAAAGTCTGAGCACAAACAGGAGCTGTGAGAGTGTTAGAGTGCGAGGGCTTAGAGTAGAAACATTACAAAATCTGAATGTGAAGAAAAAGATATAATCCAATCTCAAGACCAGGAGCTTTTGATTCTGTAATAAACAAGATGATTTCCCAAAAAACAGAATGAGACTTTAATGAAAAACCAAGATCAGACAATGTTTTCAACTTTCACAGCTTCCTTCACGTAAACACTTCACGTAACTTCAACACACATTTCATTGGTTTGTTAAGTCTGTTTCAGTCTCAGTTCTGTGTTTGGATGCATGGCACCTTTTTATCTAAAATATAAATCCAGAGTTCATCCAGATTCTTTGGACAGTGAGAATACTGACGTCGGCTTCAGGAGAGTTTCAGCTGCGTACAGATGAGTCCATCAGCAGATGAGGAAGAGTAGCGTCCTTCATCTTCATCCTTCTCCTCTCTGTTTTTCTCTCTGGGTTCATCCACCAGGAGCTTCAGACGACTCAGGTGATGCAGAGCTCTGAGGACAGAAATTAAATCAACGCCATGTTGCTCTGAACCACTGAAGGTTTCTGTCACTTCAGTTCTCATCACACTGATGTTTGTTCAAATGTTTCTGATTCAATTTGAATATGTTACGATCACGACTTCACAGTCTATGGTATCGATCTTCTACGCAGTCATTCTGGTGTTGATTGAATGTGTGATGTGTTCAGGGTCAATTACCTGTGTAGTGACGGTCCACCAGAAAAACTCTCCAGCTCTGCTTCAGTCGTCTGTAACACAAACACAAACTCCTTGTGAGTCACTGTGTGAAACAAGAGAAGACAGAAGTCTGTGGAGGAGCTGCAGAGACTCGTCTCCAGAGTTCATGTTTCACAGCTGAACAACTCAGCAGCAGGTTTTCTGCTCGGACTCGTTCAGCATCAGATCCTCCTCGTTCTTCAGGTGAGAGGTGGAGCAGACAGGAAGTGATCATGTGATCATGTTTACATCACCTGACACCGTCGTCAGCTCTTATCACCAAAAACTGTCTTCACGTCTTCGTCTGTGTCTTCTACGTGCCTGTCAGCACTTTGTGTCATGTGTTAGAAGCTCACCACCCCCCCACCACTCACAGTGAATCAGTGGAGGATCCTCTGCTGTCGTCTCACATTGTTCCTCCTCGACTTTCTGCGGACTTTGTACCGGGGGGCCAGGCGGAGAAAGTCCGCAGAAACTCGGGAGGCTCTCACTCTGACATTTTTGTTGACAAATACACCTCCTCCAGAGAAACTCCAGAGCTCAGTGCAGGTCTGAAGGAGCTGGAGTGAGTTTTTTTCCTCACAGCTGGATGTTGACACTAGAGTCCTGTGGTGCGTTCAGGAACTGAAATTTGTTTGCTCTGAAAGACTGAGTTTCCACCTGCGTCCCTGGAGTCTCTGTCTGCAGCCTGTCAGGGCGTGTTTGAGTCTCTGACGCTTCCTCTTCTTGTTGCTGGAGCTTGGTTTCCACCGCCTGCAGTCTGAACAGCATCTGTTTCAGAGCCTCCACTGGACCGGGCTGCTTCCAGATGTTGTCTGTGCCGCCCCCTGCTGCTGGGTCCCTGCAGGTTCAACACGACTATCATCAATGTGTCCAGGTTTTCTGAATCAGAACTAAAAATATGAGTGTAAATAAATCTTACAGAGTGAATGAAGGACAACGTGAGGAGGAACTGAGCAACTCCTCGTTGTTCACTGGAATAACTACAGAACAAAAACGAAAACAGTTATTCAATGGGGCAAAACATTTCAGGTTGTAGAAAATATTAAATGTGCAAATCTCGGACCAGGACAGATTTATCGGTTTGCCAAAAACCCTCAGTCAATTGAAAAGTAAGGGAATCATCAATTAAAGTACCCAGCTACTTTAAGGTATTAACCCTCTCAATGAGTTTGACCTCAGAGTCCCCACTGAAGGGATGTTCTGTGGACTACCCTTTGAATTAGAAGTAGGGCCGGCAATCGATTCAAAAAAATTAACTAATTAATCAAACAAATTTCTGTAATTAATCGCGATTAATCTATCAAGAAATTAATCGCATTTTTCTACTTAAGCTTATAATGAATATTATTTATTTATGTAAAATCATCAAATTAATGTAGAATAAACACAGAGAAAGTATATTTGAATTCAAAAACCATTTTAATGGCTTAAGGTGCACATATGTACAGTGCAAATACGAAAATGAATGAGAGATACTGTTGAAAGTTCAGAACATTGAACATAATTTACTCAGTCCTTCTTTACGCTCAGCCACTTACTGAGGCAGACCAGTTTGTTTACGTTATCAGGGCATCCAGAACATGGTTAGCACATGCCTCGGCATAATGTCGCTCCGCGGTTTTACTCACAGTAAGTGCAAACGACTGCAGAGTCCAGTCTTGATCAATGAAATGTGCTGTGACGCCCAAATAATTATCGTTGTTGACAGATGTCCAGTGGTCACCTGTGAGAGATGTGCTTTGCTTGCTCAAGCATGTTCGTGCGCTGGTCCCTCTCATCCTCAGACAATGTGTGTATTCTTGACACGATGGTTCCTCTCGAGGGTAAATTATAAGAGGTATCTCCCGATGCAACACGAATTACTTCTCTCAGTCCATCATCCTCTACTGTGCTGACTAGGTGGCAGTTTTTAACTATCCAAGCAACCAAGGAGCTGGTTAACTTTTCACTTACAGGTTTCGTTATTCGCCCACGAGTGCCACAGTCCTGTAGTGTAGACTGGCGAGGTCCCGTGGAGGTAATTTCAGCAGAGTGTTTAGCTTTGAGGTGCTACGCTAAAGACGTGTTACTTCTGTGGTAATTAAATTCGGCTTTGCAAACTGTGCAAATTGCCTTGGTTTTGTCCAACGAGCCGTTGTGCAACTTTTTAAAACGAAACTTTCCCCCTAAAAGTCCGTCCTTATCCATCTTTCCGCTACAGACTCATTTAGTTAGGGTAGATGTTTGCCCGGTTTGCCCGCGTACGTCACCAAAGGTTATGGGTCAGCCGCCACCGGAAGTAAACAAAACCACGTTAATTGCGTGAATTTTTTTTAATGCATTAAATGTTTAAAATGAATCGCCAAAATTAACGCGTTAACTTTGAAAGCACTAATTAGAAGATAACATGAGCTTGGTCTTATCAGCATTAAGCTCAAGTTTCAGGTTGGTCAAGGGGTTTTAATAGCTTTAAAAGCACTTTGCAAGTGTTGATGTCCACAACAGCTCATCAGCATCCAAATGGAGACACATCCGTCACATCTTGACCAAAATCATTTATTTTTCCCTGAACCCAGACTGGGAATGAGATCAAATATTATTTGAATATAAAATCTGATTGGTGACTGAGTGGTTCACTGATCAAACCTTCCATAATCCTAGATAAAATGTATATCTTTGAAATAGTTAAATGTTTATTTAACAGGGAGAACAAAAGCAGATTTCCTAATTTTTGGGATTTTGTTATTTTTCACTGTCAGGTTAAAAATCTGCAGCTAATTTTAAAAAATAGGGCTCGCTAAGATCAGGCCCGTGTGCCTTTCTGGTGTCGAGAGCTTTCAGTGCTTTATTTACTTTCTGTACTGTAAAAGGCAAAAAGATAAATTGGGGACCACAGAAACATCCGGGGAAGATGTCACGGGTGCAGGTCACCTAGAGAGACACACAATACAAAATACTCACCTGCAGGTTTATCTGCTCCGTCACAGCTCTGACACAGAGAGTTCAGTACCTGATCGGCCTTCTGGATCAAACACTCGATCCTGTTGTCTGACGAGAAGATAAGAACTGTTTCCACAAAGTAGAAATTCGACACACCACGCAGCTCTAAATGAATCACATATAACATGTGGAATACTGTGATGGATGATTTCCAACATCAAAACCCTGCTATTAAATGAGTCTCTCCACAGCTTCTAAATCTGTACTTTGTCTTCCTGAATGTGGCTGTCGAGTCTATTCAGCCCTAATGAGTAACACATGGTGCAGAAAGTCATTCAGTGTGTTCTTACCTCTGAACATCATGTGAGTATCCATGATGTCGGAGCTTTTTCTCTCTGCAGCGAGCAGTGAAATCTGTTCAGCTAACTGCAGCTTCAGATCTCCAACCTGTCAAAGCACACAACACCCACAATACACACATTACACCCACAATTATCACTTAGGTAATTACATATTATTCTGTTGTATGCAAATGTTAGCATCCTCAAACTTCTGAGGAGAAGCAAATACAGATTCTGCAGCAAACAGACATCTAAAATTTGCTTTTCCTCAAAAGTTAACTCACTGTTTGCCAGATGTTCAAATTCAAATTAAATTCAAAACAACTTTATTTGTTCCTGGAGGGCAATTCAATGATGTTGACAACTAAGCCAGCGCCATCCACTGATGACGACTGTCGCATTAAAGTTCAAGTGGACCTTAGGAGAGGATTTCTCTCTGACCTGTGAACGTGTCTGGTCGGGATCATCGTCCTCCAGCTCTGCTACCCAGGACGGAGCTCTGGTTCTCAGAGCTGCAGGTGGAGGAAAACCTGGACGAAGAAAACAAACATTCAAGACAACAGCTCACAATCATCTTATACCTTCAACAGGCTGTTCACTGAGCCTGGCCCCTCCGGTAAAGTATCCCTGTCAAGATTTCACACTCTTACAGCACGCAGTTTACAATAATGGCAGATATACTACAGATGATTCTAATTCAAACTCGCTTGTGGTGTGAAATGTTTAATAAGAAAGTTTTACTGTGGTTGTCCCATAGCTTTGGTTCGATTGGTGGCGGCTGGGGCTGAGACTCGCTGCAGCCCTGGATCCATGCTGGGTAGTTCAGGTCAGGGATGCTGCTGGATCCAGAGTGGTCCCTGTCAGCCTTGCTGCTGGTGAACCAGCCACCAGCAGCTGCTCTGTGTACGGCCTAACAGAGACAGGCAGAGGGAATACTGACGCTCAGTTAAAGAGCGACACAACACTCAGATCCTAATAGACATGTGAATATTAGTCACATTAAAGCTGCTCACAGGGAATATGTTGTCATGTGTTTTAAACGTGGCTGCTCCTCTTCCTCTGCACCTTGTGAAGAGTAAGTAATGAAATGATGAAGAACAATCACAGAACAGAGATCGGTCAGGACACACATCAATGATACACATAAGTGCCAGTTGCACAGACCTGGAGTTCCTGGATATCCTGGTTAGTTGAGGGTGGTGGTGGTTCAGTTGGGGATTGGTGAAGCTGCTACTGAGCCCAGCACAGTTTCTATGTCCTGAAATGGAGGAGCAGCGGAGCTGTGAGGCTTCAGACTGGGACAAGAGGCCTGAGGCAACACACGAGACGTCAGAGTAACTGAGAGACGATGCTGTTATTGTTTAATCTACCAAATGTATATTCTGTAAAACGAGGCATCATTCAGTCCATGTCTGAAATGCATCACAAAGTTATGTGTTTTAAGATCTCAGTGACAATCATGTGGGTGGAGGGTGCGTTTAAAGACACAGATAAGGAAAAAGGTGCCAGTGATAACTTTTAAGATCTTGGATACAGACTTGGGTGATGCGTTTATAAACTTGGAATGAAAGCAGAGGAGTGGAGAGATGTTTTAAGACTGGATGTAGGTTGATGGAGGTGTCAGAGGTATACAGAGGTGTATGATTTGTTTAAAGACCTTGGATAAAGGCAGAAGTGTGTGTGACAGGCATCGATCCATCATTAGGGATTGACAGCAGCTCGTCTGTCGTCATCGAGAGTCTGTCTCTGTTAGCACCGTGGTGAAGGGAGCTGACGGGAAGGTTCAGGAAGTCCAGCTCTCTCTCAGTTAAACTCTCCCTGAGAACTATGGGTAAAGACAAACAACATAAGGGTGATAAAAAAGAAAACTTTCACTGATGGAGAAAAACATAAAAAATACAAATTTGACAGCATCTCCATCTTGGCCTACCATCTTTGTTTCTGAGTGTGCTCACTCTGGGTCTGCTCGCCGTGGACAGAGGACTATGAGGCAGAACGAGTTGTCCTGCCGATAACCTGCAGTTCTGACAACTACTCTCAAAGTCTGCGATGTAAGCGTCCAGTGCCGCAGAGGCCGAGTCATAGTCCTGCAAAACCGACCAATGAAAGAACATTAATGAAAGATGTCTGACCAGTACTATGAAAACCTCATTTCTGTTTGGTGTTCAGTCTGAGGGATTTAAGAAAGTAAGTGAACCTTGTTTCTGTATCTGATGCTGCTGTTGTGTTCAGGAGGCAGGAGGCTGCTCCTCAGACAACCTGTGTTGGACATCAAGGACGTCACCGTTGACTCCGGAGACAGATAGTCTCCAACCAGGCTGCCACTGTCCATTCTGGAAACACACAACAACAACAACAACAGTGAGCTGAGTGTGATGCTTTACACACGGGCGTCGGCACTTATCACTAAAAGCTCTGGAATCTCCTTGTCTTTCCAAGTTGATGTCTCTCTCTCTCTCTCTCTGATGCTTTAGCCCTGTCAGTCTGTGAGCCACAGACATGATCACATGTTCTGTTCAGTCTGTGAGCCACAGACATGATCACATGTTCTGTTCAGTCTGTGAGCCACAGACA